TCATCAATATCTTACCCTCAAAATAATTTCTTTAAAATATAACATTATGAATATATTTCATAATTTTAGATTGTATTTGATATATTAAATAACATTATAATGTTCAAAGAATATATATATATATATATATTTGACCAAGAGAAATGACAAAGTCATCCTTAAAAGGTAATTGATAGATTTGACATATTTATTTTAATAGATATAAAATAGTGAGACATAAGGGTAAAAAAGAAAATATAATTGTTGTTCACTTGTTTGTTGACTTCTCTAATAAGACACTTTGAATGAGACAATTTTAAAAACCAAAAGAGACACATTTAGTAGGACGGAGGGAGTACATGGTTAAAAAAAGTCAAAAAAATAAAACAAATTCTTGTCATAATGCTATAAATAATTATAATAAAACTAGCATAGAATGGTATTCAATATATCAAATACAATCAAGAATTATGAAATATATTCATAATATTTTTTAACTCAAACAACTCGACTTGAAAAAATTTCAAGTTCGAGTTGTGAAATACGACTCGCCAATTCGAATAACTTAAAATCTTTTAACTCGGCTCGACTCAATTCGGTCGAATGCTCACCGTAGTTGCAACCAATCCCACGATGAAATACCTAATGATACAAACACAGAAACATACCAGGGATCAGAAACATGGCACACCAGTTCTCACCAGGCCACACTTTCCATAACCATTAATTTATGAAATCTATGAGCTCAAATCATTAGGTAAAACAAAACAACTAAGGAGTGCCAAACGTGGCCCAAAAAAGAACACCGTATATAACTCTGCCAGAAATCACATAACTTATAAAGGAGTCGGCCGGCTTTCTTAATTAGACGGTCCATTTGAATAGAAGTCATCATGGGCCTAGAGTTGTGTATTTTTGCTTATTGGATTCATTATACAAAGCCCAATTAAAAATAAAATAAAATCTTATCATATTGTTTTTCAAGGAATAATAAATATTTTAAACACTTAATTGAGACAGCAAATATTCTTGATGACCTCATGGCTCACGCTTTAGCAAATCCTTTTATTCAACTTTTAACCAAACAGCAAAGTCACAATTGCAGACCGTCAACCATTTTCTTCAACATCTTCCCCCTTGAAATAAATGCGTCGATGCCGTGTTTGACAACATTTTACTCATTTTTTTTCTAATCTAAAAACAAAACGCGAGTCTCAACTCATTAGATTATGTCTTAAATTTGACATTTTAAGACCGTGCTTCTAGACATGACATACAATGGTGGATTCAGAAATTTAAGAATGAGAGTCTAAGTTTTTAATTTTCTTTTTTTTGTCCTCCGGTTCTAAGGCTTCGCATTGACTAATTTGGATCGACTCTGGTTGCACAACTGACTTTGGTGGATGAGTCTCCTGAGATTTTCTGCAAACACAATGACTCGAATCTGAGACTTTGCTTAAGTGTTATTAAGCTGCTTACCACTTGAACCAACTTCCATTGATTATTTTTTTTAAGTAATGGATATGCAAAAGAATTTATTTTTTACTTTTTTCACTTAACACATTAAATTACATTAAATTATTTTTCCAAAATAATTAGGATACAGTTGACCCTACGAAGGTTTAATGCATCCGCACCTAATGCTACATTCAATTGTGTCCACTCCAATTCATAACGTTTATGGATTTTCAATAGCAATAATACTAATTCAATTAGTATTCTTCCAACAGATAGAAATGGCGGTCCTATATCTCTCCCTTAAGAAACCCTAACCTTTTTAGTGTTATTATTGTTCAGGACGGACATAGAATTTTATATTAAGATGGATGAATTTATAAAAATTTAGAAGAATAGAAATAGATTATTAATAAATAAAAAATATTTAAATTATATGAGAATCGAAATTTTTTAAGAAAACAACTGACACATCAATTCTATAGATTTATTCCTATTAGCACCATACAGTTATTTGAATACACTTGGGGGCTGTTTTGATGGTGGAAAAGAATCAGAATCTATTTTCTTGGTTTGGATTGCAAAGATTCCCACTAGGAAGGAAAAAATAATTTCCAACAGTAAAAATTTGGGGCACTTTTCCAGGAATACTAATCCCTTCCATAACTTGGGTATTTCTCAATTCCCATCAATATAGACTAAAATACCCTTGAAATAAAAGTATTATTTAAAAAATATCCTTCCCTTTATTCTTTGTCATACATTAAATCCTAGGGGTGTTCATTCGGTTAATTCGGTGGCCGAACCGACCGAACTACCATTTTCGAATTAACCGATTTTTTTTTCTTTAACCGTTAATCGAACCGAACTTTTTTTCGAAAATATTAACCGAACCGAATAAATTTCGGTTAATTCGGTTAATTTTCGAATTAACCGAAATTTTTTAGAATTTTAGAATTTAATATTTTTTTAATTAAAAAATAATTTACAATTAATTTAAATAATATCTAATTATAAATAATATCTAATTAATTTGATTCAAACATTTTGCATTTAGTTTTGATATTATTTTAATTAATTAATATTGATTTGGGTTTTAAATGGATTTTAAATGGATTGGGCCTCTTAATATAATTATATTTAAAGGTTAATTCGGTTAATTAACCGATTTCGAACCAAATTAACCGTTAACCGAATTTCAAAAAAATCCTTAACCATTCTCCGACCGAATTAATTTGGTGGCCGACCGAATTAACCGAACTAATTCGATTCGATCGATTAATTCGGTTAAAACCGAATTTTGAACACCCCTAAATCCCTTTGTAAAGGTGAATTAAAAACTTGAATTTAACAATCTTAATATTTTTTATATCAATCAAGGCCACATAAAATATTGATAACTTTTTGTATAATTAATTTATAAACAAGCAGTTAAAAAAAGGAAAAGAAGATAAAAGAATCTAATAAAAAAACTATGGTAAATGAAAACTTTCTCAAAAAAGGATTTTAATCAACTACTCCCCTCATATATTCAAATATCATGATATTAAATTGGTATTGAATATATAAAAGTTTAAGAATTAATTTGAAAGATTTAGATAATGATATTATATGATTTTGAATATTAAAAAGTAGAATCATTATTATTTTTAATAATATATATATTTCCAATCAATAAATTAAAAATAATTTCTAAAAAAATAATAAAGCAACCCATGCATATTTAGATTGGAGTAAAATGATTCATCTGTTAAAATTTTCATATTCTTCTATATTTAAATATTGATGTAAAATTTTAATATTTTTTAGATAACTGATGTAAAAATTAATATTTTATAAAATACATATATAAATTGAAAATAATAAAAGAATATATTTTTGAGTTTTTATATAAATATTTCCATTTGAATATTTAGAATTCAACTTGTTAAAAAATAAATATATAACAAGGACAAATTGGTAAAATATACATTCCAATAATATTTTGTTCCTTTAACCAAACAATGTAATCTTACATTCCTACCAAACAAACCGACACAATAATATAACATTCCTGGTAATGTGTCAGATAATGTTATATTTCAGTAATCTCATTCCCAGAGGTAACATTACATTCCATGGACCAAACCCTCCCTAATTAAGAGTTTTTTTCCCCAAAAATAAAATAAGTTTATAAATTAACCGAAAAATGACATAATCCAATACACTTCAAGAAATACATTCAGGATAATCAAACTCGAACCAAATTGGAGAGTTACAATTTAATGCCCATTGCAGTATTACCCGTAATTTTTTTTATGACAAATTCTAAATCTAATCTTAATTCTATATAAAGGGGAGGGGAAGAAGAGACTTTAGAAAAAGGAAGGAGAGTACTCCTAATAGATCTAGAACCAATGACTTAAATATATATATATATATAATATATATATATAATAAAATTTAAAAAATTCTTAAATTAATATTTGAAATTAGAAAAAAAAAATTAAAATTGATATTCAATAATAATATATTACTTTAATAATCAATTATGTTGTGACACATTATACTTGATGAAATACTATTTTAAATGATCAATGTCATATCAATAATTTAATTGATTGTCGAAATATTATATTACCAATAAATATTAATTTATTCTTTTAAAATTCAAACATCAATTTGAGAAATAATGACATTTAAATATTAAATTGAAAAGAAATCAAGTGTAAATATTAATTTACATAATAAGTCAAAAAAAACTTGTAGCTAATCAAAGAAAAAAAATATTTTTTTGAAGTAGAATTTTGTCCCGATCTTCTCTCTCTGTCTTTTCTATTTCATTTTCTATTTGGTTGAATAACAAAGAAATGAGAGATTTTACTATATAACAGTCTAATCTAAGGTTAAATAACGAAAGATAATAGATACAATCAAGATTATTATAAAAAGTATAACATTTTCGTTTGAACACAATCTGAAATGTTAATTTTTTAGTATTTTTTGTTGAATAAAAAATATTGTGAGAAAAAGTAACATATTTGATGCCCGACCAAAAATATTAAAAAGAAATGTATTGTCTAATATTATATTTATATTATTTTTTTATCATATTTCTTCTTCGACATTTTTTAATCTTAAATTAAGTTATCGTATATACAGAAATACTAGGGTCGGTGTCACTTTTGAATTGGTAGGTAAGAAAACTTTGTAGAAGCGAGGTTTACATTCGACCTTCCAACAATATTCTGAAATTAATATACAGATAACATTAAATATCAATACGACGACCTAAAAAAGTGAAATACAGGAAGTAAAGAACATGGGTAAACTAAGTATTTAATCACCTAATTATTTCTATGACGTAACTATTTTTTTTAAATCATATCTAAATTTATGTTTTTTGTTATATTTTAATCATCTGTCGTTAAAAATAAATAAAATTGCTGACGTAATATTATATTATGGTCACGACCAAAATGGAACTAAAACGTAACTTTAAAAATGATTTTGAAAAATATATAGTTGGGTGACTAAAACGGAACCATAAAAATAGTTGGGTCACTGAATTCATCGTTTATCCAAGAATGATTCCAATGATAAAAGATGACATGTTTCTCTAAGCTTTTTTTTTTTTACTCACAACTACTCGCGGGGGTTGGGGAGGGGGATGATCAGGCTACTGTTTTGCTGGTGTTTAGGTCATTTTCGTTTAGGCAATCGAACCCAAAGTCAATGATCCCAAAATCCTGACAATCCAGCAACCATGCGCTGTTATCCTCCCATGATGGCAACCTTGTCTCATTATTACAAGTATCTGTTGCTGCTGGTGTGGCAGTACTGTTCCATGAAGTATCAACCAGGGGAGGTTCATCGAGCCATAAGCTGGTCAATAATGATTCATCGTTGCAGATTCTGTCAAACAAGTTGGAGTTGTCACCGGTCGAGCAATTATCAGTTGTTGTAGCATTAGTGGAATAATTATCCTCCGATGAGATGGTGATATTATTATCCGCAGAATTTTCAGCATGGGAACAACTTCCTTCAGGTTTGGATTCTTTGTTCAAAGTTTCATGAGTAACCGGGTTGATTCCCAGTTTAAGAAGCTTTTTCTTGATGTGGGTGTTCCAGTGGTTCTTGATCTCATTATCGGTTCTGCCTGGCAAACTGGCTGCAATCTTCGACCACCTGACAAACAAAAAGAACAAAATCATTGTTAAGTTCGGTTTTCAGGTCTCGTTTGTTGCTTTAACTAAAAACGAGATGATTAAAATTTAAACCTATTGCCAAGACGGGCATGAAGGTCGATGACCAGCTGTTCTTCATCCTCAGAAAGAAGGCCCCTCTTCAAGTCAGGGCGAAGATAATTAGTCCATCGTAGGCGGCAGCTCTTGCCACAGCGGCGGAGGCCGGCGAGCTTAGGAACAGCAGGCCAGCAACACTGGCCATTGGTGGCAATAAAGTTGACGAGTTTCTTGTCTTCCTCAGCTGTCCACGGCCCCTTTTTCACTCCAAGTTTGTCGCAGCAAGGCTTCCTACCCATAACTTAGTCGCACTAAACACAAATTAAACTATCACTGATAAGTAACAAAATGTAATTAAGCTCACCAACTCTATACCCATAAAGCCCCAAAAGCCCCACACACCCCTTTATATAATGTCCTCGACCAGCTTTCAGAGATAATATATATATAATTTTTCTTTAGAAAAATAGAGATTATGTGATTTAACCAAGTTAATATATGTAAATATGAACATAATTCAGAAATGAGAAATTACGTAGGAAGGGAGAGCCAAAGTACCACGTGAATGAACATAGGATTTTATGTTAGAGGATACGAATTTAAAAAATCATATTAAAAATTTAAATATTACAAATTTTAAAAATAAAAAAAATAAATTATTAATAAAAATACAAAATATTTGAATTATACGAAAATTTAAAATTCGAACAGCATCTACTGGTCATATCCATCCTTAGGTACCACCAATGGTTTAAGAAAGCGACGTTGGAACTAAAACGGTGTGTTAGGGTGTTAATTATAGACATACAAAAGACTAAAGAGAAAGAGATTGGATGATCGGGTGACCCAAAGACGATGGCTACGTCTATAGGCGTTTCCCCTAAAAATCCCGCTCTGCCTATTGCAAGTTTACTCAATCATTCCTCATTCCATCATCCATTCCGTCATATCCACATTTTCATATGTATCAAATTTATAATTTTAAATATTTTTGTAATATGAAAAAGTATTGTTATTTTAGGTGTATAATTATATTGTTTTAATGTATAAGATTATCTTTTTTTTTGTTTTAATAACTTAAAGTTAAATTTAAATTCTATATTAATTGTAAGATTATATTGAATATATCATTTAATTTCGTTTATATATTAGTTATAAAAAAATCGTTTATATTATAATGACATGTAATAAATTTTATTTTCATATGTTAAAATTAAATATTTTAACTCTTAGTTATAATAAAATTATAAAAAAATTGGTTTTGTTTTTGAAAAACAAATAAATTTATCCCAAAAATTTTGATTTTGAAAATTCATATATTCGGAAATGAAATCAAAAGTCTAATAATATTTTTTACTTACCCGCAAAATTCATTTTTTTCCCCATGGATAGAGAGAAATGCAAATTTCTCCATAATAAATTTATAGTTTAGTAAATAAAAATAATTAAACTAAATCAGTATAAATAAGTATTGATAATTAAAAAAATAACTTACCCAAATTGTATTAATTTAATTATATAATGTTATTATCGCCCTATAAATTTCAAGAAAAAATATTATCTTATAATCATTAGATCCGTATTACTTCCTGTATGAAATCTAATAAAATCTTTAATTTAGCAGAAACAGAAAAACAATTACTTCGCGGTCACTTCAAGAAGAACATTATCATCTTGGCATTCTCATTCATCTCGTTTTCCATCATTCTCCTTAAACTCGTTCTGCAATTAATTTAAGATATGCTGTGTTTTCTTTCTTCTGTAATAATACTAAGTTACAGTTAAGAAGAAACACTCTTAAATAGGGATAAAAGCAAAAATTTATCTCGAAGGGTTCAAATTAAGAAATTATATTATATATTTTAAAATGTGCGAAACTATAAAATTTTAAGGGATAAAAATTAGATAATCGATAAAAAAATAAAAAGAAAAACTTGAAATATAAGGTAATTTTGAATTTTCAAGAGAACGAGCGATTACACCCCCAACACCCCTCGACCCATCCCTTCTTGTCAATAGTATCGATCTCACTGTTCCATGTTATTTCAAATTTACAAATCGGTAATCACGTTGATTATATACTTAAGTATTTCTCAATCTCCATTCGGCTTTTTAAACATAATGGAATTCTCATTACAGGATTGATGATTGCCACAAGTTATAATAAAACCAAAAGACACAAGTTAAGGTATCTTTGACATGGAACAACTATACGTACCATTATGCTCTGACAGACACGTATTGGTTTAAAAACTTTGAATTTCAACCGTGGATTGCGGTTTAGAAAACCTTGATCGGACTGTCTAAAAAGGTTCTGTGAAAAAACCCCATCAATATTGTTGCACGTGTCCTGTCTAAATAATCCCATTACACGTGTCCTTATGACGAGCAATTGTAAACATATAGAAAAGAATTTAGTACTGTATAAGCAGAGTGGATTGACTTGTATCTCTTAGATTAGGTAGGTATAGTTGAAGGTGGACCCTTTTCTTCAATGTGTAGCTCAACTCCGGACTTACATTACCTGCACGAGGGCGACACGTGCATGTTTTCTTCTTAATATTAAACTGTAATATACATACTCTATATCATATGTGGACGTGCATGCAAATGACGTGGCCACCGATTCACCAACATGATTTGGTCTGCTAAGATATCCCCCGACAATATTAAAAATTCAACCACGAACAAGGTTCTGCAATTTTGAGAATCCACGTCTACCTAAAAACAATACATGGTTTTGCATGCCAAGGGAACCAATTAAGGTTGGATTTGTTAAGATACCATTTGAATGGGCAATATGATCTATTAGAATGTTGTGATTACTAATCTTCCGGATAAGATGATGTTAATTAAACTACTAAAGAAGTATAAGTATTTGAAGTTTATTAGAGTTGCCTAATTATAGAGTTATGATTAGAGTCGTCGTCATAAATCGTGGATGAACCTATTAATGGATCGAGGTGCTAGTTGATATATACATATTTATTTTATATAAAAATATTAAAAATAAAATAATATTATATTGAAAATAATTAGTCGAATATGGGGAAGGCCGACTATGCACAAAGCCCCAAAGATGTTACTCTAAGGTCAACTATTATAGAGAGATGAGAAGGATATTTGGTGTAAGATGTTGCAAGTTGGGGTGGCGAACAAAGATATGACCCTAAATTATATTAAGGAATCGAAGCTGCCCTACTAGTGGTGGACTAAAAAATTTAGAAATAGTGCTTAAAAATTTTAATACTCGATTTTTCAGTATAATAGGTATACAAAATTTCTTATTTTTTATCTTTTAATATATTAAACTATATTTAAAAATGAGTATGCATTTGATTCATATGACCGATATGCACCCGTCCCTATGCCCCACAACTAGTGGCGTGATGACAGGACATTCGAAAGAGAGAATTTCTTGATCAACACTACCCCCTTTCTGAGTTTCAAGACACATTCATGTGCATAATGAGTAACATGTCTAATCAAGATAAGGGTGGAAATTGGGAGGAGTTTTTAACAGGGTTGAGGGGGGGGGGGGGAATATAGTTTTGCTAGTTTGGTCTTGTAAGTTTCTCTTCAATGGAAGGATTTTGGTTTATAATCATAGTGAGAGAGATTAGCTGGCGGATGAGCTTAGATAGCTGAACTGTTGAATATGATTGGATGGAAGCACAATGTAACCATTTTTTCTACACAAGAAAGGTGGTGGTTGGCTGAATGGAAGATGATTGATTCTGATGTACGGTAATTTAATGTAAATTAAAAATATAATGATTTTAGTATACAATTTAAAATATGATAAAACTCATAATATTTTAAGTTAGACGTTATTTAAAATGTTACTATATTTGTAATATTTTATATTGAATCTAAAATATAACGAAAAAAATAATATTTTTAATTGTCAACAAAAAATATTATAAAAAAGAAAAATTTAGACTATGTCAAACGTAAAATGTTATGATTTTTATCGTTTTTCGACTATGTCCAAGTGTACCCTTTTTAGACTTAAAATTTAAGTTTTCGTCCTTAAACTTCCCTGGAAGATGGGCCATTTTCCCTTCTGTGGCCAAGAACATATTTATATATATATTAACAATTTCAATAATCTATTATATTTTTAATAATATGAGTGATTATAATGTAATACCTGTTTAGAATATTTTTTAATTTTTGACAATTCATACATATTCTGTAGACATAATTATTCGAACTTAATATCTTTAGAAAGAATAATATTTTTATTAATTATTGAAATCATTTGATGCGATAACAATATACTATAATAAATTCTTGAAATTTGACAAATGCTAATATTTAATACATTTTCAAATAAAATATAAATAAATTTTAAAAATTATAATTTTAGTATATACTTTCAGATAATCTTTATAAACTATAAAATTACGATCATTTGTTATTTAGCTTTGGATGAAGTACTCTTACATCTCATCATGACGTTAAATTACCAAAACCGACCTCATCGTTCTAATTGTGTTTACGATCATTTGTGTTTACCGGATATTATTATTATTAGGGTGTAAAAGAGCCAGGTTCGAGTAATATTGAGTTTGATTAGACTCGAAAATTTGAGAGTCTAAAATTTTCAATCTCGAATTGAACTTAAATCATGAACTGAAGCTCGTAAAAGCTCGAAATAAAAAAATCTTTAACTTAACTCGATTGAAACCTCAAACTCGAACTTAAACCTTAAATATATGAAAATTTTATACTGCATTTTTTTTTAAAAATTCAACACATAAATATTATTAATAATTTATTTTTTAAATAATAAAATCTTAATATATTATATTTTCGAGTTGTTTATGAACTTTTGAGTTGAGTATCAAGTAGCTCGTTTCGGCTCGTTAAGAACTCAAGTTGGGCTCAAGCTCAAATTGAGTTCATTTGAGTCAGGTATTTATCAAATTTTGATCGAATCAATTTCGAGTAACTCACAATCTATCTCGTCTCGTATACATCCCTACTCACTATTTTCCAGAGGGTGATTAACTGATCATGTTGATCCATCGGCTACGGTTGAGATCCATCGTGCAATTTAAACGTGTAAAGTTAAAAATATCACTAAATTTTCAGATGTTAATTTTTAAAAATTATAAAATTAATATTACCATTTTATTATAAAATAGATAATATGACGTTATTATCTTCGACGTACAATCAAATGTCACATTATAAATGAGAAAAAAATTGGTCGGTCCTTTTTCCTATTTCCCCGTCCTTGATTAATTATTGATAGTTGATTTTCTTCCTTCTTCCTCTTTTCACTTTTTTAATTTATCATATTTTTATCGAGTTTTTATTTTTACACATTTAAATTATGTTATTCAATTTTCGTATGAAAACAATTGATGACTTTGTCTATTTTATAATACACTCTTTG